TTGTCATGGCTACTGTTTCAGGAACCATAAGCAGCTCAGCAGACTGGTCTGTTGTCTTCTGAAACTCTTTGCACTTCAATTTGCACCAGGTGAAAACAGGGCCGGTAGACTCCGTGGCCCAATTCAGTTTCTTCCGTGGTGATACGAAAGGAAAGAGAATTACATTTTTTTTTTTTTTTTTTTTTTGTAAGCGGAGTGGAGGCCTTTGCTTCCACATTTGTTTTTAACCCAGAATTTCTGAAATAGAGAATTTAAGAACACATCAAGTAATAAACACACGGAGAATATACTTTTTTTATAAAGCACATGCATCTGCTATTGTGTTAGGTTGGTTTCCTCTCTTTTCCACGGACAGTGTTGTATTTCTGGCATAGGGAAACTCCAAACAACTTGCACACCTCTACTCCGGAGCTGAGATTTCTTTTACATAGATGACCTCGCTTCAAATATGTTACCTTACTGATAGGATCTTTTCTTGTAGCACTATATCTTGTGGGGATTTTTTTTTTTTTTAATGTACACCTAATTTGAGAAGCTGAAGAAAACAAAATTTTGAAGCACTCACTTTGAGGAGTACAGGTAATGTTTTAAAAAATTGCACAAAAGAAAAGTGAATGTCGAAATGATTCATTCAGTGTTTGAAAGATATGGATCTGTTGAAACAATGAGTTTCATACTTTGTTTGTAAAAAAAAAAAAAAAAAAAATTAAGCAGAGAAGGGTTGAAAGTTACATGTTTTTTTTGTACATAGAAATTTGTCATGTCTAAATGATCAGATTTGTATGGTTACGGCCACGAAGAATTACTACGTAAAAGGCTCTTAAACTATACCTATGCTTACTGTTGTTTTTGTTACACATGGCCCTCGTCTGAGGGAGGGGAACTCGTATTCTGCTATTTGAGAATACTGTTCATTCCTATGCTGGAAGTACTTCTCTGAGCTCCCTTCTTAGTCTAAACTTTTAAGCCATTGCAACTTCTTTTTCTTCAGAGATGATATTTGACATTTTCAGCACTTCTTGTTCCTAGAAACCCAAAGAATATAATCTTGAACACGAAGTGTTTGTAACAAGGAATCCAGGCTACCAATCAAACAGGACTCATTATGGGGACAAAAAAATAACTTCACCTTCTTTCCCCCCACACCTCATTTAAATAGGGGGGGGTCAAAACGATTTCAATGTAAATGCCTCATTTTAGTTTCTTTTTTTTATTTAATATAAAGAGGCCAAAATAAATGCGGAGCAACTTCTTAGAACAGTATTCCTGTCCACACATCAAGCCGGACAGCGGAAACTGGACAGCTGTGGGGATATTAAGCACCCCCACTTTCAATTCTTAAATTCAGAATCTTGTCCCCTCCCTCCTCATGGAAGGCAGTTGTTCTGGTAGCCAACTTTCTCCTGTGTAATGGCAGGAGGGAACACCGGCTTCAATTTTTCACGTCCCCGTGACTTGCATACAAATGGTTCAACTGTATTAAAATTAAGTGCATTTGGCCAATAGGTAATATCTATACAATAACAGTCTCTAAGAATTTCCATAACTTTTCTTATCTGAAAGGACTCAAGTCTTCCACTGCAGATACATTGGAGGCTTCGCCCACGTTTTCTTTCCCTTTAGTTCGTTTGCTGTCTGGATGGCCAGTGAGCCTGTCCCCTTTTCTGTGGCCAATCTGAAGGCCTTCGTTGGAAGCGTTGTTTACAGTCATCCTTACCAAGACAACATACTGTCCTCCACACGTGGTAGGTGACACTAGCTCGAGCTGTTGTCTTCAGAGCAGTTACCAACAATCTCGGTGCATAGGTTTTCTCTGGTTCTTACAGGAACTACCTACTCTTTCAGTTACCTGGTCCAGGAGTGGGGTACATCCTTGAGTCAGTGCATTTGAACTTGATACCTGTGCATTCGGTTCTGTGAAGACTGCCCTTTTCTGGCGGGGTTTCTTCCTCTCCCCAGCCTGACTGCTCAACTCTCAATCCAAATTAGTGTCAGCTGAAAGGAGGTTTCCAGATAGTCCCTGTCAGTATTTGTGGTGACCTTCAGATTAGAAAGTCTTCATTTCCAGCCAGTCGAGTCCTGGCCCGAGCGCCATCTCTGAGACTCGTACCACTGGATGTTTTAATAACGGATCATTACCACCAAACTTCCAGTCATATGCCTCCCACAGGCCAAGGGAAAACAGACACCAGAACTGGGGTTGAGGGCACTACCAGACTGACATGGCCAGTACAGAGGAGAACTAGGGAAGGAATGTTTTGCACCTTATTGAAAAGAAAATTTTAAGTGCATACATAATAGTTAAGAGCTTTTATTGTGACAGGAGAACTTTTTTCCATATGCGTGCATACTCTCTGTAATTCCAGTGTAAAATATTGTACTTGCACTAGCTTTTTTAAAACAAATATTAAAAAATGGAAGAATTCATATTCTGTTTTCTAATCGTGGTGTGTCTATTTGTAGGATACACTCGAGTCTGTTTATTGAATTTTATGGTCCTTTCTTTGATGGTGCTTGCAGGTTTTCTAGGTAGAAATTATTTCATTATTATAATAAAACAATGTTTGATTCAAAATTTGAACAAAATTGTTTTAAATAAATTGTCTGTATACCAGTACAAGTTTATTGTTTCAGTATACTCGTACTAATAAAATAACAGTGCCAATTGCATGTGTGCGTCTTTGCCTTCTGTTGGGTCCTCTAAGAAGAGGCCAGGAAAAAGGTGTTAATTTCTCCTCTTTATTTATCCCTGCTCTCCCTGGGGAGGTGTAACATGAGGCGTTGCCTCTGCTGCTTATTTTTTGGGGGGTGAAGAGTGTGTGTGAGATGAGGTTCTAAGATAAAAGGCATACATCCACACCTGATGTCTTGGCTTCTTCAGTTCATGCTTATGTCTCCTAGCTGAACACTGCTGTTCAGAAGAGGTCTGTTTGTCTTTAAATGTGATAGCTTCATGGGCTCATGGGGCATAAACAATCCTAAGCAAAAAGAACAAAGCCGGAGGCGTCACACTACCTGATTTCAAACTATACTACAAGGCTACAGTAATCAAAACAGCATGATACTGGCACCAAAACAGAGATATAGACCAACAGAACAGAGGCCCTGGAGGCAACGCCACACATTTACAACCATCTGATCTTTGACAAACCTGACAAAAACAAGCAATGGGGAAAGGATTCCCTGTTTAATAAATGGTGTTGGGAAAACTGGCTAGCAGTGTGCAGAAAGCTGCAACTGGACCACTTCCTGACACCTTACACTAAAATTAACTCCAGATGGATTAAAGACTTAAACATAAGACCTAACAACATAAAAACCTAGAAGAAAACCTAGGCAAAAACCATTCAGGACACAGGCATAGGCAGGGACTTCATGACTAAAACACCAAAAGCATTGAGAACAAAAGCCAAAATAGACAAATGGGATCGAGTTAAACTCCAGAGCTTCTGTACAGCAAAAGAAACAATCATTGGAGTGAACCAGCAACCAACAGAATGGGAAAAAATTTTTGCAATCTACCCATCTGACAAAGGGCTGATATCCAGAATCTACAAAGAACTAAAACAGATTTACAAGAAGAAAACAAACCCATCCAAAAGTGGGCAACGGATATGAACAGACACTTTTCAAAAGAAGACATATATGAGGCCAAAAAACATATGAAAAAATGCTCATCATCACTGGTCATCAGAGAAATGCAAATCAAAACCACATTGAGATACCATCTCATGCCAGTTAGAATGGCGATCATTAAAAAATCTGGAGACAACAGATGCTGGAGAGGATGTGGAGAAATAGGAACACTTTTACACTGTTGGTGGGAGTGTAAATTACTTCAGCCATTGTGGAAGACAGTGTGGCAATTCCTCAAGGACCCAGAAATAGAAATTCCATTTGACCCAGCAATCCCATTACTAGGTATATACCCAAAGGATTATGAATCATTCTGTTATAAAGACACATGCACACACATCTTCACAGTGGCACTGTTTACAATAGCAAAGACCTGGAACCAACCCAAATGCCCATCGACGATAGACTGGACAAGGAAAATGTGGCACATACGCACCATGGAATACTATGCAGCCATAAAAAACGATGAGTTTGTGTCCTTTGTAGGGACGTGGATAAATCTGGAAACCATAATTCTCAGCAAACTGACACAAGAACAGAAAATAAAACACCGCATGTTCTCACTCATAGGCGGGTGTTGAACAATGAGGACACAGGGAGGGGAGCATCACACACTGGGGTCTGTTGTGGGGAGGGGTCTATTACGGGGGGAGGGCTAGGGGAGGGACAGCAGTGGGTAGGAAAGTCAGGGAGGGATAACATGGGGAGAAATGCCAGATGTAGGTGATGGGGTGGGGGGATGGAGGCAGCAAACCACATTGCCATGTGTGTACCTATGCAACAATCCTGCATGATCTGCACATGTACCCCAGAACCTAAAGTACAATAAAAAAAAAAAAAAGCTCTCTTTAAGATGTCCTTTCCTTCACCTCTCTCACTTATTTTGCAATAGTCTCTTAAAAACAAACATTTGAAGATAAGCGTAAAACACGCCTTCCATAGGACCAGCCGGAGCGCCTCACACCTCACAGAGGGCAAGGTGGGGAGCCTGCAGCCACGCCCCACGTCTTGCTCCACGTTAAACAGCCTCTTGGCCCTCCTGTCTCCAAAGTGCAGCCCCTGTATTGATAAAGGTGCAAGTGTTACTCTTAATGGGCTGGGCGTGGTGGCTCACACCTGTAATCTTAACACTTTGGGAGGTTGTGGCGGGCGGATGCCTGTGCCCAGGAGTTTGAGACCATTCTAGGCAACATGGTAAAATCCTGTCTCTACAAAAAAATACAACAATTAGCTGGGCGTGGTGGCAAGGTGCCTGTAGTCCCAGCTACTTGGGAGGCTGAAATGAGAGGATCACTTGAGCGTGGGAGGTCGAGGCTGTGGTGAGCTGTGATTCTGCCTGGATGACAAGAGTGAGCCCCTGTCTCAAAATCTTAAAGGATTTAGTAGGGAGAAATATTGCACTGGAGTGCACGCTGCTGGATCTCTCAACGTTTTCTTAAATGACCAACAGTAGGCCTGTACGATCCCAGAGTGTGACGGTTCTGCTTGGACGCTTCTCACGCCATCGGTCACTGTGGACAATCAGGCCATTCATTCACCCTGACACAGCGGCACCCCATGGCCCTTCTCTACTCCAGGGTGACTGCTTGCCTTTCCAAAGAAAACTGACTTGGGTACCTGCTCTTTAGCCTTATCAAAAAGTAAAGTAAAACATCCTGATCTGCGCTTTCCAGGCCTGGAACTCAGTACTTCGAAGTTACGTGGCCGCTCATCACTTCTTCTGCATTCACTGTTTAAACAAGCATCCTGGGGGACTGCTGCAGGTCAGCTGCAGAGGCCAGTTCTCCAAGACAGTGTCATTGTTCCCAGCCCATTCACTGACCTTATATAGTAGTGCCGTGTGGTCCTTCCGGGAAAGGATTCCCTGGCGCACCAAGGGAATGTCTCTAACTCATGTCTCAAACCAATGCCTTTTAGGATGCCACTAATCAAAGGTTTGGCTCTTTTGCAGTGCATCTCCACTTGCTGATTTCTCGGGAGATAACCTTTCCATAAAACATCCAATGGAAATTCAAAGGGAGTTGGAACTGAGGGGGGGGAAAAGATGGAGGAAAACAAAACGTAATGAGAAGCCAAGACAGGGACAGCTTCCTAGAGGCGACAGCACACTGGTAGGGACAGATGACTTGTCCCTGAAAAGCACGTGTAATCAAAGTCTCAGGAAAACACACTGCCCCAACCCTGTGAGTATCAGCTGGGAAAACAATTCAGGTTCATCTCTCCAGTTAATTGCTTTTGTTCTTTTCCAGCAACCAAAAGCTCCAGGTGGGGAATGCCACCACCTCTAGCTTTTGGTTGCTGGAAAAGCTAGAGACGGTTACTCTGACTCTGGCCTGTCCGCCCCCCGCCCCACACTGTCCCCTCCCTGCTCCTCCTAAGGTGACTTGTCTGCTAATGGCCAGGAGTGGCTTGCCACCAGCCTGTCTGGGAAGAAGGCAAAACAAATCCCAAACCATTCAACTTGACTCCTACAAATACAAACTCCAGCGCTTCATCAAGTCTTAAGATAACAGCATTACATTAAAGTGAAACCATCTTCTTTTAAAAGAGAGAGAGACAGGTGCAAGTGTCGGTTTGAACAATGAGGTTATGAGTTCTGGGCAGCAGGGCTCTGATGTTGCCCCAATCAGTGCCTTGTGTCTGAGCCCCCGAGAAGGCACGCGAGAGGGCACCAAAGCTCCAGGCGGCAGGAGGGTGGAGAGAGCACACAGCATTCCACCATTCAGCAGCAGCCAGAAGCTCAGCCCGAACAGACTAGGAAGGAGATGGGAAAAGCAGGTTTGGAAGCTTCCGCTCGGGCCGGACGCCGCGTCGCCCCAGGGTTAGCTGAACACGGTGTTATGCTGCTGGGTCACCCGGATGAACGTGGCCCTCCTGCTGAGCTCCTTGAGTTTGGCGGCCCCCACGTAGGTGCACGTGGACCTCAGTCCCCCGAGAATATCCAGGATAGTGTTTTCCACATCTCCTTTGTAAGGCACTTCCACAGTCTTACCCTCGGAGGCTCTGCAAGGCAAAGGAAGTTTTCTCTTTTATCTAGCTTTTTCCCCCTCACGAGCCCAGTTAGAATTATTCCCAGCTCCAGCACTTTCTGTAGCCCCCGAGGCACTCAGAAAGCCAGACCCCACTCTCTGACCCCATCCCCACATTCTACCAAGTGCCAAGATGGTCACCAGCATCTTAGATGAACACATGCCTCCCACCCAAAGGGCTCGGGCTCCCTGCTGGCAGCCCTGCATGCTGGGGAGAGGAAAGTCCTGGTGAGTAGCACTTGAAGGAGCTGGGGACACAAACCACCCCGCTTGGTGACATTCTCTCCAGCAACATGCTCCCCTCTGCCCCTAACAGAAACCACCTTTACCTTTCTATTCTACCTCAACACACATGCCAAATTCCCAACAGCCAGAAGCCAAAATGCCCCAAGGAAGAATGGCCCTCACAGATGCCCCCGGAAACTGCCTCCTGACCTCCTAGACCAGCCACAGGAAAAGCCCAGAGCTTCACCTCCTGCCTGCCCACTCTGAGATCAGAAACCACACGTCCTCAAGGAGGGCGACGAGGACATTAAATGCACAACTCAGGTCCTACCAGGTTACATGGAAATCACCAGCAAGACGAGGTGGCTCTGTCCTGATCGCTTGCCTGGCCTTCTGCCTTGCTGGGTACATGGCCACCCCCAGTTCGCCTCCCTATTCTCTTACAAGTCACTACATAGGAGGAGAACCGAGACCTGTCTTAGTTCTGGAGGCTTCTGGGCTTTGGATAGCATCTTTCACATTTTCAGAACAGTATTTAGAAATTCAGAAGGTCCGGCCTATGGCATGAACACTAAGCAATATTTCACTGGCCCCACTCAGCCCATGTCCCTCTCTTCACAAAGCCACCAGGTGACACCGCGTGACTGTTAGTTGGGTAACACAGGTTATGTCCCCTTCCTGCAACATGGGGATGTGGTCCAGACTGTATTCCCAGAAGGAAATCTGAAATCTCGGCAAAACTCTAGCTCTCATGGAAGGGCTAGGCAAGCTCTCACAAGTACCCAAATTCTGGAACTTTCTGTAGCTGTTCTCTTCAGCTGGAAAGGAGCATCTCTCTCTCTTTTTTTTTTTTTTTTTTTTTTTGAGATGGAGTTTTGCGCTTGTCGCCCAGGCTGGAGTGCAGTGGTGCAATCTCGGCTCGCTGCAGCCTCCGCCTCCTGGGTTCAAGCAATTCTCCTGCCTCAGCCTCCGGAGTAGCTGGGACTACAGGTGCCCGCCACCACTCCCAGCTAATTTTAGTACTTTTAGGAGAGACATGGTTTCACCATGTTGACCAGGCTGGTCTTGAACTCCTGACCTCAGACGATCTGCTAGCTTCGAACATCATCTCCTGACTAGACATTCATTACCAGAATTACAAAAGGGTGTTAATTCTTGGTCACTGAACAGGCAGGACTATCCATGGGTAAAATTTAGCTACTTCAATCATCAGCTGGTTTAGAGCCGTAAGCTCAGGAAGCTAAAGTCACTGGCCATACCCAGGATAGCACTCTGTGACCCCAGACAGGCATCTGTGCTCGCGTGCCTGCAATGATGGACATTTCGTTTTCCTAAGATATTTAAATGGCCTTCCTGGGGCTTGTTGGAAATTTCTAGATTCCTCTCATTGTTGCTCCTTTGCTAACTGTTGGTTTAACCTTTCACAAGTTCCTTTTTTGCTGAAGCTTAAGTCTGCTTATCTGTCCAATGAAGGCACGTTGCTTCCCGGGGATGGTGTGAGAATGAAATAGTTAATGATTTGAAAAGAATCAGTGATGTGTACGTAACTGTGCGGTAAGTGATTTGTCAAAGTCGGGAAGCATTCTCATGACGAGATCATGGTCATGAGGCTGAAAACTGCCAGATGAGAGAGACAGACCGAGAGAGAGACTGACTCAGAGAGAGAGGCAGGCAGGTACAGCCTGCTCAAGCTGCAGCTCTCAGATTAAGGTTCTCATTTCCTTAGCAATTTCCTTCCCTGTCAAAAATTTGAATCCATGTCCAGAACTGAGTCTTGCCACTGCTGAATCTTTTTTTTTTTCCTGTTATATCTAAACCCTGCTGAAATTACAGCAGACTGTTTTTCTTTCAGCTCTTTGGCTTCTGTTTGTACCATACCCTGATCTATTGTAGACTTCCTGATCTATAATTTTTTTTTTTTTTGAAATGGAGTCTTACTTTGTTGCCCAGGCTGGAGTGCAATGGGATGATCTCAGTTCACTGCAACCTCTGCTTCCCGGGTTCAAGTGATTCTCCTGCCTCAGCCTCCTGAGTAGCTGGGATTACAGGTGCCTGCCACCACACCCAGCTAATTTTTCTATTTTTAGTAGAGATGGGTTTCACCATGTTGGCCAGGATGGTGTTAATCTCCTAACCTTGTCATCCGCCCTCCTCAGCCTCCCAAAGTGCTGGGATTACAGGCGTGAGCCACCGTGCCCAGCCATTTTTTTTAGAACCCAAAACAGATGCAACCACGAGGGCAAAACAGGTTCTCCAGGCAATGCACCTAACTGTTGCTCACCCATGAAAACTCCGCTTACATTCTGGCACAGAGGAGACATGTGCAGGCCCTCAGATGCTGACAATCATTGCTGGTAAAGCACTAAGCTTCTTGGCCACAGGTCCAGCTCAGTACCTCCTCCTCACCCAACTGTGTAACCTCCCTCTCCGTCAGGGACTGCATGGAGGAAAGAGGGCCTGGGGGCTACCTGGGAGGAGCGAGAGTGCCCCGCGTTTATGATTGGCGCAGTCCCCATCGATCTTTCCCTTCCTGCCTTTCCCATGCTATAATATCTTTATTGAGGTTCACCACCAAAAGAGAAAGAGACCAGGGAGAATGAGACTGAAGTAAGTCAACCAGAACCCTACGGAAGAACAGAACTCTGGTAGAATACCCACACCTCCCCCCAATCTCCTCGCCTACAAATCTCAGTGGAGTTCTGAGATTTTGCTGCTAACTTGATATGAACTTTACATCTGAGTCCCAGGTCCTCAAAATGAGCCTTTGGGGGTGGAATGGGTGGTAGGAAATAAAGGGTGTCAGCCAGGGAGGGCTTAGGTTTTCACTCCAGCACTGGGACAAGGTCTGAAAACTGAAGGGAAAAGCCTGAGGTCTCCTGGAGAAAGGTGACCAGCCACCTCACAGCCTGCTCCCCTCTGCAGATGGAGGACCTTTGGTCCTGACCCCATGTTGTATTACAGCTGGTTTTCGCAATGAGAATCAAGAGCAGGCTCTCTGGAGCAAAGTGAGGCGGTGCGTAGACGGCCATCAGGTTCTTTTGTTTTTGAGGCAGGGTGTCATTCTGCTGGCCAGGCTGGAGCACGATGGCATGCTCATAGCTTGCTGCAGCCTCCAACTCCTGGGCTTAAGCTATCTTCCTGCCTCAGCCTCCTGAGTAGCTGGGAGTGCAGTCATGTGACACCCCACCCAGCTAATTTTAAAATTTTTTGTAGAGACAGGGTCCTGCTATGTCGCCTAGGCTCATCTGGAACTCCTGTGCTGAAGTAATCCTCTAACCCTGGCTTCTAGAAGCACGGGGATTACAGGCACGAGCCACTGTGCCTGGCCTCATCATCAGGTTCTTCAAACACATATGCAGACAGTTAAAATGGAAGTGAATCGGCAAAGACCCAGGTGTCTTTGGAAACTATGGGTTAAAAACACCCATTAGGGGCCGGGCGCAGTGGCTCACGCCTATAATCCCAGCACTTTGGGAGGCCAAGGTGGGTGGATCACTTGAAGTCAGGAGTTCGAGACCAGCCTGGCCAACATGACGAAACCCTGTCTAAACTAAAAATACAAAAATTAGCTGGGCGTGATGGCAGGCAACTGTAATCCCAGCTACTTGGGAGGCTGAGGAAGGAGAATCACTTGAACTCAGGAGGGGAGGTTGCAGTGAGCCAAGATCATGCCATTGCACTCCAGCCTGGGTGACAGAGTGAGACTCCACCTCAAAAATAATAAAAAAAATACAAAATAAAAACACACATCAGCAGAAGTGAGCCCCATTCTGGAGTGGATGACACCACTGAATGCTGAAAACGCTGGCTGTGTTGACTCCCAGAGCCTGCAGGCAGGGGAGAAGCCGCAGGAGCTGTGCAGCGTCCTTCGGAAAAGGCCTGGCCACGCAGTGCTCTAGACCACACCTACCGCTTCCTGGGCAAGAGGAGAGTCATTCTTCAACTCCATTCTTCCAGCCTCAATTCCCCTCAAGCCAGAGATCAAAGCTTACAGGGATAGCTCAGCAATGGCTCTACTGGAAGGACTATGAATAATCCCACCCACCCGCAGAGGTCTGGAATATTCCCTTCAGGACCGGAACTCACTCACATATACCCCTGGTCACACTTCCAACCCATCCCCAAACACTTCTGCTCTGTACTTGCTTTTGGGAACCCCAAGCACTGCAAATGCTAACTGGATAAAAATTAGGGTTCTTTAAAAAGAACCCCTTCCCATGATACTTTAATATACACAGAGCTGCTATTCAGACCTACTTCCATCCCATCTCTGGAAGAAGCAAGAGCAAGGCCAGGCCTCGAGGGTGCGTCCCGGGGCTGCCCCTCACCTGTACTCGGCAACTCCTCCTGCGTGCTTCTTCATGGCCGTGTCTGAGCTCATCCCGTAGAACAGCTTGAGCTTCTGTCCGTTCCTCTCAATCACTTCTCCAGCACACTCTGTATGACCCGAAAACATCCCTCCCAGCATCACAAAATCGGCTCCAGCTCCTACATGCCAACAGCGGGGACAAAAGAGAGTAGCTGAGAAAAGAGCGCAGGGGAAGCAGGCTCCCCCAAAATCCAAGTGCATGCCCAGTACGCCTCCCCCTCCGCCAGCTGTAGTCAAGAGAGAGGATGGGCTTCTCACGTCTCTCCTCCTGGAAAAAGGGAGAGGGTCTCCATGCAGGGAGACAGGGCCAGGGGACACAGGGAGAGACAAACAGCCACAGTGTATGGGGCTGGTATCCTCTACACTGGACCACGCGTAACAGCTAGTAATGGCTAACTAGGACCACCTTCCTCAGATCTAACTCTTCTAGAATCAGAGAAACATTAAAAATCGGGCAGTATTCTGCAGGTGCGGTGGCTCATGCCTGTAATCCTAGCACTTTGGGAGACTGGGGCGGGTAGATCACTTGAGGTCAGCAGTTCAAGACCAGCCTAGCCAACATGAAACCCCGTTTCTACTAAAAATACAAACATTAGCCCGAAATCCCTTGAACCCGGGACACAGGGGGTTGCAGTGAGCCGAGATCATGTCATTGCATTCCTGCCTGAGCAACAGAGGGAAACTCTGTCTCAAAAAAAAAGTCTAATTTCTCTGCTTCAGA